CAGTTAGACCAAATTTAACGCGGTCAATTCGAACCAGAGGGTCCCGCTGCTATGAACTGCTATGAACAAAACAGAACATATATGGGATTAATTCCAATAGAAACCGCCTGACCCCAAACTCCACTTTTTGAAGCACATACCTATGTAATAAAATAACATCTAATTTATATACATGCACACAATTAATACTTAAGAGAAATACAGCTCAGTTAATGTCCATTCAAATAATGGACTCAACTCCCTCTCACACTACACCCTGGCTCTTCCCTCTCAGAGAAATTTTAGAAAACCACTAAATTTTAATAATAATAAATAACAACTAAAGTTAGATAATAAATTGATATTGCTGGATTCTTGTAAGACCAGAATATTTGAATATAAATGTCATATATTTTCAAAAGATAATATAGTTACCTAGAGAAAAATTTTTATCTAAAATTTGTATGTTTAATGAAAAAATATATGATGTTTATATTCAAAAATGATCACCAAATTATAAGAATTCCAGCAATGTAAATTATATTCTGACCGTAATTTGTATGAATTTTATGAGCCAAAACAAATATCTTCAGTTAATAAAAAAATAATCTTCACAACACTATCTGTCAATCAAAAGTACCCCACCTTGCCTTCCTCTTCCAAATCACATGTCAGTCCCAACCTCCCCCACCAATCCTCCCTTCCAGGGTTTTTCACATTTAGTATTAAATAACACCAGATTAAAGTTAGGATAATATAATTCTGATACTGCTGATTCTTTGTAAGACTCAGGAATATTTTTGAATATAAATGTCATATATTTTGCACAAAAGATAACATAGTTAATTTGAGAAAAATTTTATCTAAAATTTGTATGTTCAATGCAAAAATATGATGTTTATATTCAAAATGATCATCAAATTATAAGAATTCCAATGTAAATTATATTCAGACCGATAATTAAAATAAAAACTTATGAGCTAAAAAAAATATCCTCAGTTAATAAAAAAAAAAATTCTTCACAGTAAATAGATGGTCAGTCGGTCCTCCTCCCCCAACCCCCACCAACCGGCCCCAAGGAGATGTGTGAATCACTAAATTTTAATAACAAAAAACTCAAACTAAAGTTAGATATATAATTGACAATAAGGATTCCTTGTAAGATTAGGAATATTTGAATATAAATGTCATATTTTTGCAACAA